CTGAAATCACATGACTTTTTTGGAACATAGCACCCAGCATATCATCTGGCATATAGCAGTTGCCAAATAAATATTTGTTGAACGAATGACTGGATATTGCTAAATGAAAGGTAGAAAATACATAGACAAATATACAAACAGATTTTTCCAAAAGAATTTTGTAGTGCTGGGCACGGAATCCAGGGCCTGATGCATTCTAGGCAAGCCTTCTACCTCTGAGTTACATCCTCAGTCCCTATAGTTTTTTTTAAAATAAAATAAATGTACAGTAAGTCCACTTTTCCTTTATACCTACTGTGTTTCTGGCTCCACCTAGAAAAGTGACCAATTTGGCTTTGCCACAGAAGCCCTGATGGAACTGTGGTATAGGAGCCTGTCTTACGCTCTTGAGGTTGATAGGAACCCAAGAAGTTGGTTGGGTCAAACTTCCTTTTCCTTGCATATATCTAGTGCCAGGGGCTCACTGCCTTAGGGAATAGTTGTGCTTTGATCTTTGGATGCTCTGAAAAGCTCTGACTCTTGCCTCAATCTGATTTGTGCTAATACCGAAGCTGTAGCCCCTAGACTACAGCACTGCACCGTACCACAGCTGACACTCTGGGAACCACAAAACTGTATTTTATTGAAAAACGATGGGAAGTGAATTTTCCTATGATGCAGCAGGAGACCCAGCTTTAAGTCTGAGCTGTGCCTCGGACTTGCTGTGTGAAATGGGGAATCCCTTTCCTCATGTGGGCCACAGTTTCCCTTTTTGCACAATGAGGGGCTTTAAACAGTTTCCCTTTGTGCTCAATGAGAAGCTCTAAAAAACTTCGAGCTGAGAGGTTCCAAGTTCTCCAGTGCGGCCTAATTAGGATATTCTAAAGCAGTGATTCTCAAAGTGTGCTCCAAGAGTCGCTGGGGTCCTGAGAATCTTTCTAAAGGTCGATGAGGTCTCCCTTTTCAAATTACATAGCTGCAGGAAGCGGGATTTTGCCCGTATGCTTTACGCCAACCAAACTGCATCTCACAACAGACTGCATGGAGAAGCAGTTATGAGCGTCCAGCTGTCTTCTATTAAGGCAGACATTAAAGAGGCCCAAAATATGAAAAACAATGTCACTTTTCTCAGTGGATTTATTTTTGTTTTGGAAGATATTGTTATTCTTCATAAATTACATAAAAAGAAGTTCTAAAATATGTTAACAAAAAATGTTAAGCATATTTTAAAAATCAATTTTCCTTAAATGTCTCGGTCTTAATTTCTAATATCATAAACACAGATGAAGTTGCAGAAATAAAAACTCTTCAGGGTTCTTAACACCTTCTTTGTTTGTTTTCTTTGCAGTGCCAGGGATGGAACCCAGGGCCTTGCCCCTGTTAGGTAAGAGCTCTACCACTGAGCTACACCTCTGGCTCAAAGAAATACCCTTTCATTTTTGTTCTGTTTTACTGGGGATTGAACACGGGACCTTAGCACTGACCTACAGTCCCCAGCGCATTTTTATTTTTTGTTTTGAGACAAGGTCTCCCTAAGTCACTGAGTTGCCCAGGCTGACCTCGAACTTGTGATCTTCCTGCCTCAGGCTCCCTGCCTCAGGGATTATAGGTGTGCAGCACCATGGTTGGCTCTTAACAACTTTTAACAGTATAAAGCAGTTCTGTTCTACTATACGTCTCTGACTTCATGTCATTTTACTCAGCCTGTCCTCCCCCCATCACAGATGTAATCTCAATATCTGGCACAGGCATGAACGCAATGACCTTGGGAAGGAGGCTATTCTTCCTTCCTCAAGGTCTCAGCTATACCAAGCCTTTATTCTCCTCCACCAAAGTTCCTTGGCATAAACTGGACACTCGAGGCTTAGGAGAGTTACCCCCTTTGGGAAGTGCCGACTCTTGAGTGGGGAAATAAGGCAGCTGGTCAGGCAAGTGTTGATGTGCCAGCCTCCCTTGGTTGCTTGTCCACAGCTGCCGAACCCCCTAGCTCCCACCTTGCCTCACTGCTATGCTGAGTGCCCCCCTCCACCCAAAGAGATCAGGGTTTCTGCCTGCTACACACGTCTATCAGGCAGGCCTTGGATGTGAGGACTCAAGTATGGGGGAAGAAAGGAGACAAGGGAGAACAGAGGAGTCATGTGAACTGAGAGAACTCACTTCACTTGATGCTCCTTTTTCATAACGACCCAGAAGGGTGAGTAAGGAACTTTATCCTCATGCTCATATGACAGTCAGGGAAACCAAGGGTGTCTCAGAGGTAGGCTTTGCTAAGGTGGCCACACAGTCAAAACTTATTTGGGCTTGGGTTTGAACTCACGTGTGGATGATGCCAAATCAATGCTGCTTCTATTTTTCCAGAGGCAGGGAGAGTCAGGAGTACCCAAGACCAAACGATGGAGAAAGGGTACTGACATTCACTGAGCACATGTTGTGAGCCAAGTGTAATATGTGTGTGAATGCTTCCTTATTAACCCCTAATAGCAATTCCCTTTCGTAAGTTTGAATCCACGCTCTGGCTCAGGGAAGGGATGTAGCTTTTGTAAGCCGCACTGCTAGAAGGGAGCAGAACCAGGATTTAAATCTAAGCCTGTACAGCTCCAAAGCCTCTGCATATTCAGTAATAACAAATAACACTTACAGAGAGCTCACATTATGCCCGGCTCTATAACTAAGGCTTTAATTCATTCCCTTAAGCCTGAGAACAAGGTAGGTACTCTTATTATGCCCCATCTTATAGATGGAGAAGTTAAGGGAGTAACAGGCCCAAAGTTGCCTAGTTAGAGTAACAGAACTGGAATCGGAATCTGGGCAGTCTGCTACGAGGTCAGCGTGGGCAACTCAGTGACTTAGGGAGACCTTGTCTCAAAACAAAAAATAAAAATGTGCTGGGGAATGTAGGTCAGTGCTAAGGTCCTGTGCTTAGTCCCCAGTAAAACAGAACAAAAATGAAAGGGTATTTCTTTGAGCCAGAGGTGTAGCTCAGTGGTAGAGCTCTTACCTAACAGGGGCAAGGCCCTGGGTTCCATCCCTGGCACTGCAAAGAAAACAAACAAAGAAGGTATTAAGAACCCTGAAGAGTTTTTATTTCTGCAGCTTCTATGTATCTGTGTTTATAACATTAGAAATTAAGACTGAGATATTTAAGGAAAATTGATTATTGAGTTCGTGGGTTAACCACCTCAAGGCTAAACTGACACAAAAGGTCCAGAACTAAAACCGAAGACTCCTGCTTTCCTTGGTTAGTGCGTTGTGCTATGCACCATTTTGGGTCCCAGATAAATGCCCAAAACTACAAGGGCTGCACTTCTTACTAGGGACCTGGATCCCAAGAAGGAGATGAACTTCAAGGAGCAAGAGGCTCCGAGGCCATGGGAGGCAGCCACGTGCCTCTCCAACAGCAGTTGCTCCATCTTCTCCATCCTCAGGCCTCCGGCAGCAAGTGAAGAGGTACATGCTGCAAGAGAGAAAACATTCGTTCTGCCCCGGCTCTTCATGTCCCCCCCACACTCCACCGCACTGGGGGCTTCGCCCTATAAGCCTGGGCTCAGTTAGAGGTGGCTGTGAAGGAGTTTCTCACCTTAGCTCTTGCAGAGTACTATATCTTCTGACACCGGCCAACAGAAGTCACATCTCAGATACTCCTGCTGTCAGAGCCAAAGAAGTGAGAGATCAGTTAGTGCAAAGCCCTCGAAGTACAAATGGGGAAACTGAGGGCCACAGAGTAAGTTGTAAGCAGAGCCGGACGGACACTTATCAACTCTCCGGACAAACTGCAGTACTGAACCACTGATGAGGAAAGTTCTTGAAGGCACGCAGAGATTTGCTCAATGCAGGCTTAGGACCTTCCAGGGTCCCAGGACTTGGCCCTTTGCCTGGCCAACTTGGTTTCTGAAAGAGAAGTGAGGCTAGGGAGAGTAAGTTATTCTGGGCCTCTTGATGACATGTGCCCCCAGAGATCCAAGCCTGGTCCCTTTCCATGGGGTGCCTGGGAGCGTTCTGGCCACCAGCCCCGGCACCTTGCCTCCTAAGGTCTGGAAAGGGGTAGGGGGTGCAAGGGGGAATCACTATTTCTTAATGGTTTCCTGCCCAGAAAACCTCTAGAACTGTCTCATGCTAACTATTTCTGCTGAAAGAACTGACTTTGGGGTATCAGAGAATTCGATGCTTTGTTTCAGGACTAGAAGGGCTCTGAGTATGGGAGCAGACAAAGGAATGCCAGCCGCTTCTGTTCAGAAGGTGTTGAGAAAAGTACGTATCCCTAACCTGTGGGCCTTCCTGAGGCAGGACCATGGGAAATGACCTTTGAGGACTCACATTCTTTTAGGGTGTTACCTGGCTTCCTATGGACTCCCAGGGGCAGTGCAGGAGTTCTGAGAGGAGATGTAATTGTTGTCTGGAATGGGATTCCTTCCAGGCTTGCTCTGTACCTGACCCCAACAAGAGTCACACTGCAGACTTGAGATTCAGAGCCGTTGAACCCTACTTCTCCCTGTACAGCTGGCAAAACTGCAACCCAGAGGCATGGCCCTCCTCAAGGCCCCAGACTGAGTCAGGATTCCTGATTTCTGAGCAGTCTTGGAGAATGACCCTTTGACACAGGGCCCAGAGCTCCTGGCTGAGAAAGGTTTCCAAAGCCGTGAGCTTTCCATTTCCACTGGCTGCCTTCACACCTCCCCAAGTCCTGCCCTGACCCTTTCCCTTGGCACTCTTTCCATCGCCCCGCGTGGTCTTGGGCAGAGCTGGGGGCTCCAGAGAAGGCTGATGTGTTAATTGGCTAGGAGGCAAGCCACCAGGACTGCCAGCGTACAGGTGGTGGGAACCGGAGTGAGAGCCAGCAGATGGGCTGGCAACCCCTGCTAGGGCACTGTAACGCTCAGGGAATTTCAAATGACACTGCTGTCCAGTCCCAATCAGCTGCTTAACGATGCTGCGTTTGAATTGGTGACCCGCCTCCCCATCCCTCCTCCTTCCCCAGCCTCGCTCCCTCCCTCTCCATCCCTCCCTGCCATTCAGCTGCTGGACTGCTCTCAGCCTCTCTGCTCTCCCACTCGCTCGCAGTGCCGCTGGCAGTGCTGGTGCTGGCCGATGGAGGGCAGGGACAAGGCTGGCTCGCACAGAGTCCCTGCTCCTCTCTAGCCTGGGCTACAGAGAGAGAGAGGCTTGTGTGCCCACCAGAGCCCCCCCGGGGCCCTGCCAGCTCCCCTTGCTCCACCATGCCTCTGCTGGACGTTTTCTGGGCTTGCTTCAGGAAAGTAAAGGTATGTGGCTGTTCAGCCCCAGCCCATCCCACTGTTCCCGAGGGAGGAGGCAGCTGGCACTGTGTGCTGACGGAGAAGGGAAGACCAGACCAGCTTCTAGTTTTACCTCTATCGCTTAATCAGCTCTGTGAGCTTCTACTGCTTTCCTGTGGAAGCAAATGATCTGGCTGGCTGTTGTTCCTAACACTTGCCTCTTGCTTCCCAAGCCTTGCCACAAATGCAGGCTACTTAACCTCTCTGAGACTCAGCCTTATAAGGAGAGGAGGAGGCTGGTGCTACTGTTTATATATTCAATGATGGTGTGTACAAAGTTTCTAGCATGATACCTGGTATGTAGAACCCACACAAGTAATAATCTATTATTGGTATTGTTATTATTAAGTTCCATCAACATACATCAAGCATTTCCTGTGTGCTAGGCTCCATGGGAACTACACAAAGGCATACAAGACATGGACTCTGTCCTCAAGAAGGGGATAAGAAGGGCTTGGGTGTAGCTCAGGGGTTATAGCACTTGCCTAGCATGCACAAGGTCCTGGATTCAATCGCAAGTACCACCAAAAAACAGTGGAAAATCAGCTGAGCATGGTTGGCACATGCATGTAATGCCAGCACTTCGGAGGCTGAAGGAGGAGGTTTGCAAGCTTGAGTCCTACATGGGCAACTTAGAGGGACTCTGTCTCAAGATAAAAAGTAAAAAAGTTGCGAGTATAGCTCAGTGCAAAGGCCCTGAGTTCAATCCCCAGTACCTCCTAAAAGAGGGGTGGCTGGGGATAAAACTCAATGAGGAGGTCCTGGATTTGACCCCTAGTCCCACAAAGGCAGAGGGGGCGGGCGTAGCTCAATGTGAAAGTCCTAGCATCCAATTCTAAGTATCACAGATAAGATGGATAAGAAAAGTGACAGTTATTTATCAAGCACCTGCTATATACAGATGCTGTGATCCACAGTCAGTTAGTACGTTTTTGTCAAGTGCCTGTGATAGCCTTGTTTGCACAGCAGAGCCCACAGAGATGGTTGAATCGTGATACATTGTAGTGGTGATCTCTACCACAACCCACTGTTTTCCTGCTTTGATAGCTAGGGAAAGGACACTGTAAATAGTTATAGAATATTTACCAGGTCACTCAGATATGACCGGCAGAGTTGTGGTCTGAGCTCCTAAGCCTACGTCCTCTTGACAACTGTGGCTCCCTACAGTCCAAGCTGGCGGGAAGATTTGCAACCAGCTAGTCTGCCTGTGAGATAGGATGAAAGGACTTCTGGGACCGTCGGGAAAGAACCATCTACTCCACTGGGAGGGACTTGGAAAATTTCACAGGAGGTCACATTTGGGCTGAGCGTGAGGGTGGAAGAGTTTGTCAGTCCAAGGGGGTGGGGAGGGCATTCCAGGCATGCCTGGAAGAGGGAAGTGCAGGAGCAAGAGTTCACAAGGCAACTGAGTGGTGGGGGGCTGGAGGAGGGGTGCATCTGGGGATGGGTGCAAGCATGGGGTTCAAGGGGAGAGGTACTAGGGGAAGAGGAAACAGAGGCTACCTCCCAGAGGGCTTGGGGTTGATCCCTGGGCTCACGGTCCTCACCTGGTGGGAGGCCCAAAGGAGATTTATTTTTACCCTCCTGGAGCAGAATAGGAAAACAGAAGAGATAAAGTAGTGCAGTTTTCATAACTCTAAATGACTTCAACTCAGAATTATTCTTTAGTTGAAGATTATTGTGTCTTTCCTAAAGCTGGTAGAGATTCAAATGATCTTTCTTTTCTGAAATAAGATGGAGGAATATTTTAAATTTATATCCTTGGCAAGATAAAAAATGTTTGCCACATGACTATGTCCCTATTTGTTGATTTAAAGACTCTTTTCCCTGTCTCTGAAATCCCAAAGTCTGGGGACCACTGTCTTAAGGAATGGATAACTACTTTCAGGAAAGTATGAATATAACTAAGCGGATGGTCTTAGGAAAAACACTCAAGCAGCAGCAGGTAGGGATAGGGTGGAAGGGTCCAGGGAGAGGCAGAATCCAGGCAGGAGGCAGCTGGTGTGGCAGTGAGGATGGCAAGGGAGGAGATGAGGAAGAGCTGGACAGAATGATAAAGTCAAGGGAGGGAGGAATTGAAACTGCCTTTGAAGTCTGATGCCTGCGAGACACACCTGTCTACTGCCTTGGTTACCTATTTTAGGTGTCTGGCATGAATTTTAGTCCTTTTGTATTCATTACTCCAAATAATCAGATGTCCAACCAACCCCCGCAACCCTTGTCAGCACTTAGAAACTGTTGGACTAGAGGGCCCCTGAGAGAAGCTTAATGATCTTACCCCAGCTTCAAGATACTTACATGTCACACATTCACACGTGTGCATGTCCACAAACACAGGACACACACGTACATTTGTACACACTCAGCTACACACATATGAAGGGGGCTTCTCAGGTCATCTCATTCAGCCTTCCTGTAGTTGGGAGGGGGAAACCAAGTCCCCTGCCACCCTGTGCCACATGAAGAGGTAAAAGGAGGAGAACAACAGACAAAGTTGGGTTGAAATTTCATCCCACACCCACGTGCACACACACAAGCGCTGTGCTTTTGACTGAGTCCTCTTTGAGCCTGTTTCTGTGCCTGCAAAATGACACTACTCAGTGCCCGCCCAAGAGATGCCATGAGACTTCAGCGAGGTTGTGCCTTTCATGTGCTTTGCATGGAGTACGTGGCCGGTAAACATGACTTATTGAAAGCAGAGTTCCAAACTGTATCTGGGAGGCACCAAAGCAAAGAACAAAGTTTATTCCCAACTTCGAAGAATTAGGGGTCTCAGGTCTTGTCCAGTCCTTTGCCACAACTTGCCCTCAGTCCTCTCCTTTGACCCTGCCTGGGTCTAGCAACACAAGTGACCCATTGGAGAGTTGAAGGGTAACACCTCAAGAATACTGGATGCCGAGAATATTGGAATGGTGGCAAGAGGTCAGGCCAAGACTAAAGGTTGCTTTGAGTTTCTCTGAAGTAAGGGGCAGCCAAGGGACAAGATGTTTGGGTGTGAGATGGGCCCAATAGAAATAGTTCCATACCTGTCTGATGTGTCCTCTCTGGAGGCCAAAAGGGCTGGGAAAGTATCCATAGCTTCTCAACATAACCAAATAACCAAGCATGCCTATGAATCAGTCTCTGTGTCTTTCTCTATGTCTCTGTCTCTGTCTCTGTCTGTCTGTCTGTCTCTCTCTCTGACACACACACACACACACACACACAACCATTTCTTTGATTCTTTGATGTGAACTTTTGCTCACTACAGTGCCTAACATGGTGTTACGCACATAATAAATCCAGAACATAAATCCACTCTCATGTCACTGTATGTGTCTCAGGTAGTCACATCAGTTCCTAGAGGACACTGGCCTGGTTGGCGAAGAATCCCACTGGAGCTGCAGCTTCGCCATGACCTATGGGTGGCTTTGAGAGGGTCAAATCTCCCTACTATCCCTCCACTTCCTCCTCCTACCACATAGGTAGATAGTCATACTATCAGAGCTAGAAAGGCTCTTAGAGGTCAACTCGTCCTCCCTCCAAACTACTCAGCAGGAACCCAAAGCCAAGAAAGGGCAGAGACATTCCCCGGCACACAGGAGGACACAGCCATATTCAAATATGGTCTGTGTGATAGATTGTAATCTCCTTACTTGTTCGGAGAAAAATCCAAACAAAACTTGTCTCTGGTAAAATCTAGCAGCAATACAATGTGGGACACTTGTAATAGGCCACACACACAGATATAAGATGTCTATGTGCTAACAACCGTGTCTTACCTACGCACAAGGCTTTTAGTGGAAGCTTACTAAATCATGGACAGAAATGCCCTTTGTAAACTAGGAAGTCTCATAGAGATCAATCACCTAGTTGTGGTCCCACACAGGCTGCCACATCTTTCTCCAGTCGCTGTACTCACATAGTTAGGTGATGCCTATGTAGGCCTATGTGCATAAGGGCTCCCCTGTTTACCCAGTTGTACGTTCCCACACAGCCTGTCCTGTGAATGTTCTCCCCCGCATAAGCCTGGGGCTTCCGTGTGGCTGCTGTTATACCAGGCTGACTGGGCTTCTGTTCCTACAAGCACAAGCTTTCACACTCCTGGATCAGGCTCACACTAATATACATACACGCATGTGCCTGAGGTGTGAATCTATCCTCACACTCAAGCCCTCTCCGACTCCCAGTCTGGCAAGATGTGGGGCGTAAATGTAACAGTGACTGGGAGATTCAGCAGTTCCACTCCAGGATGCATCCAGGATGTCCCTGCATTTCCATGCCTTCTCCCTTGTTGCCTCAGGCAAAACTAACCCACCACATGCAGGTGTTGGTTGTGTGAGGAGTGTGTGTGTGTGTGTGTGTGTGTGTGTAGAATTCAGGAGTGTGCTTAGATATATACAACTTCTCTGAGCTGGCAACAACCTCAGAGGATACTGGATACCATCTCTACATTCTGTATAGGAGTCCTTCTATCACATCTTAACAAAATGGCCAGATACTGTTGCACACCTCCAACGATGTAGACCTCACTACCTTCTCAGATAGTCTGTTTCACCTCAGGACACTGCACAGGTCTTTTATACAGCCTGAGTTAAGTGTATTTGTCTGTGTATGGAAGTAGCAGCAGATGTGTATATCTGAGCTATGTGTATACAGCCACTTCTCAATGACTGGATTCAAAGGAAGAAATTATGACATAGCCTCTAGGTTATGGGCAAACCACTTAGCAGGGACTAGGCAGGGCCCTGTGTCCCATAGCAGGAGGCTTCACCCCTAAGGTTCTTGCTGCGGAGTTCCACAGCCTGGTCAAATATCATGTCAGTTGAGTGGTGGGTACTGGTTCCCAGCATGTGTGACAAATCCACATTGTCTATGAGTTGATCCTGCATGGCTAATTGTAAGTCATGTAGATGCTGACATACGCCATGTATCTGTGAGGTGTGGACCCATGGGCTGCGGTGATCGTAAGGTTATTGGCACAGATA